AAGTGGGTACAGAATTTAAAAAAGTTGTGGTCGATTTCACCGATTTAAGCCAAACTTGGCCAAAACGCTTATTTTGGCATTCTGATCAAACGCCTTTTTTATTTTGTTTAAAGTGCCTAGATCCTTCTGGGCTACAACCCTGTATTTTCGAGATTTTTAAACATTTCAACTTTCAGAAGAGATTACTCCACAACCAAATAAGCTATTCGTGATCTTAGAACGTCAATTTGAAGGTTTTTTTTAATTTTAATTTTTATAGGTGTACCCAAATTTTGTTTTTGTTATAGTAACTACAGTAAACAGGCTGATTATCGGCAGGTATTAAAATTGTAAAAAAATGGCCTATTTTTACCATAGGCGGAATTTTTTATTTCTTAATATTTTGGGCTCAAATGTTCACCACACTTTGGAAAACTCTTGTACTTGATGTGCTTTCAAGAGCAAATTAATTGGACAAATAGTTTTTGAGATATGGTAGTTTTAAGCTTTTCTGGTGAAAACTCAATGCTATTTAATATATTTTTTTCTTGAATTCCTTCATGCTGATGGCACAATCATATTGTTATGTTATTTTTCACATGTTCTGGGCTGGATTCTCATTATATGAAATCATAACGACCTCATATATTTACTTCTGTCCATGATTTAATTATGATCCTAAAAGTGAAAAATACATTCCTATGGGATACAGCCAAAACGTGCTTAAGAAGTACGATGAAATCAGATAGATTAGCAGGTATGCAAAATTTTAGTTGTGGATGACAGTTGCTACTTGAATAATACCGAATACATGATATCAAGAAGACAAGAAGACAGATACAATAGCGCTGCGCTTGAGTGAAGGTGAAAGCAACGCAGAGAAAAATTAGCAAATACACAAACCTTTCTTCTGAGCATGTAATCTTTGCTATCAAATTCGTTCGAAGCATTTGCCTTTGAGCGGCAGATGACGCGATTGTACCTGTCTCATAGCGTTCGTATGAGAAAATGGAAGAGTTGCCAGTCTTCTTGATTTGTTGTCTTCGATAATACCCTTATTTGAGCAATTATTTTTTTTAGAAGCAATCTCACGAGCAATAATGCTTTTTTTTATTATAGTTATAAAAAAAAATAAACGTTGAACCTTTACTTTTAATTTTTTGTAAACACACTTTCCATTCATGAACGTAACTGTCATGTTCTTCTTCTACGCATTTGAAGCTTATTGCTTATCGCATATTAGCTTATTGCGTGCTCTCAACTTAGTGTTCAAAATGCACTTCCACAGTTAATAATTGAGAGCTTTCGATGCCAAAATCAATGCATGAGTTAACTGTTAACGTAACTGTCATGTATCGTCAGCAAACCCATAGTTCAAAATAAGTTTTTAAACCATTATGTACCATGTTTTTACTGCACCGCCCACCGTTATTTCTGTCTTTTGGAAAATCTAACTATTTTCTTTACTACACAGAAAAAAAAGTTGTTGAATATTACATCCAGACAACTGAACAGAGGTCATTCCGCCGGTTGTGTAATACGATGTACATCGATTTTGCGAACAAAATTACATCTTTTGATGTAATATTGTATCTGCTGTTTGCTATTACATCATTATTTCATACATCAGCTTGAATTACGTTGATCGATATTACATTTGTTTGCTGTTTAGTGCTATAGTACTCTAAATTAGTCATCTACAATTAATCTGTTGGCTTGGTTAGAGGACAACCGAGAAATAGTGATGCGAAAATGGTACAACCCGCCGCGCTATTCGGAGGATGGTACTCATTTTACATACTTGCGATTCGATTTTACATAAATATCTGTTTGCTACCAGTCAAGTCAGATGAAACAATTTTTGAAGTGCTCCCAACGTTGAAAATATACCTCTTCTTATGTCACAGGCAAATTTTGTCTTCTGAGCACAAACACAACTTACTACTTGTTTTGTTTTTGCAAGCCTAAAAATCTATACTAATACTTAAACATAATTATAAGTCTGCAACTGCTTCCTGTGCGTAGCTTCAAATGCGTAGAAGAAAAGAACATGACAGTCACGTTCATGAATGGAAAGTTTGTTTTCAAAAAATGAAAAATGAAAGTTCAACGTTTATTTTTCTTTATAACTATAATAAAAAAAGGATTCTTGCTCGAGAGATTAATTACTCAAGTAGCAGCTTTCATTCACAACTGAAATTTTATATATCTGCTAATCTATCTGATTTCATCGTACTTCACGTTTTGGCTGTATTACATAGGAACGTATTTTTCACTTTTAGGGCCACAATTAAATTATGGACAGAAGTAAATAAATGAGGTAGTTATGATTTCATATATTGAGAATCCTGCCCAGAACATTTGAAAAATAACATAAAAATATGATTGTGCCATCGGCGTTAAGGAATTCAAGAAAAAAAAAATGGTATTGATTTTCCATCAAAAAAGCTCAAAACTACCACTCACTCATCTGGTCATATCTCAAAAACTATTTGTCCAAATCATTTACCCTTGGAAACACATCAAGTACAAGAGTTTTCCAAGGAGTGGTGACAATTTGAGCCCAAAATATTAAGAAATAAAAAATCCCGCCCATGGTGAAAATAGGCCATTTTTTGACAATTTGGATACCTGCCGGTAATCAGTCTGTTTACTGCAGTTACTTTAACAAAAACAAAAGGTTTGTACATTTATAATAATTTAAATTACAAAACCTTCAAATTGACGTTCTAAGATCACGAATAGCTTACTTGGTTGTGGAGTAATCTCTTCTGAAAGTTGAAATTTTTAAAAATCTCGAAAATACAGGGTTGTAGCCCAGAAGGATCTAGGCACTTTAGAGCAAAATCAAAAAATGTGTTTGTTCAGAATGCCAAAATAAGCGTTTTGGCCAAGTTTGGCTCAAATCGGTGACATCGACCACAACTTTTTTAAATTCTTTACCAACTTGAGCTGGAATGACCCATATTTGATATTTTTGCCTGAAAATCAGACCACTCTTTTCAAAAGTACTTCACTAGCTTAAACATTCTAGTTCGTGAAACTTTTATCCATTTTGTTCTAGGACTACCTCCGGCTGCAAATCGTTTCCGCCCGCAAACCGCTTCAAGCCGGGGATGCCATCACTTAGACGACTGAAGCAAGGTGGTGCAGATTTCAAAAACCAAAATTTGGGAAAATGTTATTTAAAATATTTTCAATAAAATGCTGACACCGCATTCTTTTAAAGTGTTTTGCCTAACTTCTAACTCTGATATTTGTCGCTAAGCATTTCCAACTATGTTAATCGTTAACTTCACCCATGAAGTAATACAAACATAATTAGTGAAAGTAAATTTCAAGATATTTTTTCAATCGTGCTGTAGATAATTTCTAAAAGCATCGGCCCCAACACACGATACAATCGAGCATCAACCCAATATGGTTGTCAACCAGATCACTGTGTGTATGGGGTCCATAATGCCCATTAGAGTGATGCAAAATTTGAAATTTTTGCTCCACAATACTTAAACGATTCCAAATCGGATCCTGACTAACCTCTCAAAATTTGAACCCATTTGGTGAGAAACTGAGATGGCACAAACCATTTGAAGTTTGTATGGGAATTACTATGGAAGAACCAAGATTTTTGTTCATGTCTATCTAATAATTCACCATATCGGTCTGCTTCAAAAGCTTTCAATTGTACCTGTAGGAAATTTTCCCAGCTACAACTTTACTGATGACCACTTTTTGATTAAACGCAAGAATCGAAAGTTATCAAAGGTTCAATGTGCTGATGTCTTAAGATCATGCTCAATCAACTGCTCAGCAGGCAACATTGGTGTTTCTGGGGCGTTGAATAGGACACAAAAATCATGGCTACTATGTCACACTGCAAAATACAGTGTTGCCTACAGAGCAGCTGCTTGATCATGTCATAAGTTTACCAATCTCTTAAATAATTAATAACTTTTTCCTGTCTCGTTTTACATAGAAATGATCTTCAGCAAAGTTGTAGCTGAGAAAATTTTCTATAAGAATAGTAATCGAACTGTTTCGCAGCTCAATATGGCAAAAGACAAGAAGGCAATGAACAAAAAATTAAGATTTCCCATAGTAATTTACAAGTAAACTTCAAATGGTTTGTGCAAAGTCTGTTTCTAACCAAATGAGTTGTAACTTTTGGAGGTTAATCAGGACCCGATTTGAAACCACTGTGGAGCGCTCGTCTCCCAAAATTTCTTCGTGCTTTTCTACTATAGCATTCGAAGATTCTAGTGCAGGAATCTACATAATAGCGCTCAGCACAGACAGTTCTCCTATTACACTTCTTAAAAGGTCGAAAACAGAAAAAGACTCGGCTCGGTCGTGTGAGTTCAACCCCAGGCCCGTCCGCATACTCTTATTGGTCAGTATGCATAAATAATTTGCTTTCCCGATCCCATCAATCGGATTCAGAATAAACAATCAACACGCATTTTGATGGAATATTGAGCAGCAATTAATCTTATCGAAACCGTCTTCAATTCCAATCCATTTGACATAAGTCGTCCAACCAATTACTGAACAATCCAAAACTCGATACGGGTGAATCAAACTGTTACAACGTGTAGGAATTCAACTTTTCCTTTTCAAATACATGACGACCAAACGATGACGAGGCGGGAACGACGCTGACGACGCCGACGACGATGACAAAGCATCCCCACACTCACACAATCAATCGGCGGCGCTTAGTGCCTGCCAGCCGGGTGTAGTGGCCTATCAAGCACCCAGACGTACAGTCTCATTTCGAAACCATGGTAATCTGCGATTGAAAAGAATGAGTAACTATGTAGAACAACTGATAAGATGCATAGCTGCCGTTCCGGGGACAATGTACAATGTAAATAGATACGTGCAGGTTTACACGTGGTGTCTCCAACGATCAGCTGGTCAGCACGTGATCTTGGATTTTGGGAAAGAGACCCCGACTTCATATTTGACTCGTGTGTGTGTGAGCCATGCAGGTCGTGATTATTGGATATGTGCATACTCACGGTTTGTCCGGTTGTGATTTCCGCTGGTTGGATTCATTCTTGGTGATTTCTTCTGCCCGGGTCACGCTTTGTGTCCGCCGATAGCGAACTTTGTTTTCATCTGTGTCGTGGGACATCCTCGCGAGGTCTTCTTTGTCAATGCTTTGGCTTACGTTACACCTGTGTGCGAAGATAGCAACATGCAGTTAAGTAGGTACTCTTTTAATCATTTTTTTTTATTTATCAATTTGCAATTGATCAAGGAAGCGGTTGGAGACACGAATCTGTTTATTTTTATTACTAATTTGAAATGCATAGATACGCATTAGGGGAAACCTATTGTGGCGGCATGTGCGATAAGATACCGATCGTGCCTTGGCGTGGATTTGAACCCGTCATAAAGAAACATCGATAATGCATCTAACAAATGTCACCAAAGTATACGCTACACGGTATTATAATGATATTATCTTCAGGGGAAAATCTCAAGATTACCAAGCAAGATAAACCAAAACGCTCGGTCGATTAGATATAACTGAGTTTTGTTTCACCGGAGAATCCGTGGTGAAACAAACGATTTGTTCAATCAAGCTGATGACCATCATTGTATACAAACAGGAAAGGTACAATTTCAAATTGTCCGAAATTAGACCATCAATTGGTCCTCGTGTGCATCGAAAGTAACGCACAAACAACAAAGTAACAGTAAGCGTTTGGGACGGTCAGTTCAATGCAAGTTCAGGGTCTTTTGTTTGCATTTCGATATATGGCATTACCGGCGCGCTTTTGTGTGTGGTTATATCCAGCCGCTTGTTTTTGTGAACCAGATTCTCAAGCTTGCAATATAAATAGCAATGAAATGGAGCAGAAGTGCACGTTATGTGGGTTTTGAGTTCTCCGCTGAGATAAGGTGACACGTTCAATTGTGATTTATCATTGAATCACTTTAGGAGTCACGTTTTAAGCATTACCTTGCACCTGGTTTCTGTTGGTCGAATGTCTGCACTGAGTTTGGCTTATCGCTGAAAAAGGGTAGGATTTGAAATTTGCAAGTATGATCTTAAAATGCATTCGTCAACAATAGACCTCCGTTAGCTCAGGTAGTAAGCAGCTGTGGAGCAAAACCATGTTGAAAGCGGCTGGCTAAAGGAATGTTTTTTGGTTAGAAGACCTCCCAGGGTATGAGCATTTATCGCATACTATATAGGGGAGAACCATCATTTAGCCCCAGGGGTTCATTTTGGACTAACTCTGCAAATGCATAAATGGTTAGACTTAGAAAACTGTCATTTCATAGCTGTGGAAGTTCTCAAAACAGCATGCGTAAAGGGACGTGATCGCTGTACAGAAGAAGCTTGAATCCCGAGAGAAAAAAAATGCTCATATCATATCAATTGATTGAACTTGACCGGTGAAATATAGCCATAGTCATATCACTAACCATCGATGCGAACCACCTTCGATCCCGAGCTCTACTAGTGCGATACTTTTTTGTTTACATCCTTCCATGCCACAAGCTGCCCGTAATTCAATTACGCCGTATTTAGTGACGTAATTTTGTTTTCCTCCACTTTCTACCGCTGATTTCGACCGCAAATTGCGCGAGAAGCATCATATCAAACGATCTAAAATCTAAATGTTCCTACACGTGCTGTAGTTGTAGACACTCACCTTGATGTGGATTGCGTATAGTACGCGGAAAAAAGAATACACTCTAATTGCTGGTGATCATTAAATCTCGTGACCTCGTTTCAAGGCACACCGCCACCGGTCGGTTCCGTGTGATAAAGGCACTAAGTTGCTAAAACCGGTTTTCCCCTGGGCTGAGTGGGGGGGAAGATCAATAACAACAAGACGCGCTCAACGACGCTGAACTTTGCGACCGGTCTTAATCAAAAATATAAGTTCAACTTCATTACTGTATAGTTCACTTCGGATCACTGTTTCTATGCACAATGAGTCGCTTCGTTTAGAACAATATTGCTTCCTTTGCTATTGTTATACACGGGCACAATAAGAAAAAAACACACATCCTGCATAGGCCTGGAATTATATAACACACAAAAGAGCTCAATGTACGCGTTATTATTTTTGTTGAGCCTATCAGTACTTCACTTGTAACTTGTAACCACGGTGACTGCTTCAATCGAACTAAGCACACTCTGAAGCAGCTTCACTTTTTTTTTTTCCCCGGCGAGAATCAACACCGGAATCGAACCGAAGCACACTGGTGCTTATCAGCACATCACTATCAAGGCATTTATTGCTGCTCAGTTAATCAGTGAAACACACAACATGGAAGCGATCGGAAGAACGTTGCACGGAATTTTCGAACATATACGTACACACTAAATACTACGGCATCCAGAGCTGTACTGAGCGCGGGGCCTGCTGTGGTAGAAGTAAATATTCACCAACTAACTGCACTAGGTATTACCAACGCCAGATGATGGGGTTGCGGATGACGAAACTAACCATCAAACATTACGAAAGCGTGTACTGGACTGTGAGACATCGAGGGTTCTGAGAGATTGATAGAATGACCGGTCCGGTTAGGTGGAGTGTGCACGCTATTCCTTCGATGGACTACTAAGTACCTATATGAGTGGAGAGAGAGAGAGAGAGCGGCAAAATGTTGGTTCCCACTCTCTGTTTGTTTACTTGAATTGGTAGTAGTTACAGTAAGCCGGCATGCCAAGTGATACTAACGCGTGATTATTTGTAAACATAAATTTGATATTCGCGAAATTTGTAATGAAATTCGCTTGGAGAAAAATTAGCTTCATTATTCAATTTATTGTGCCGACGAAGTTGGTGAATTGCTAATTGCACGTTTTTCAGAAGCAAAACACCCGGCGTCATCTATATGTACGAGACGAATACGATGAGCAACGGAAACATACCGGCAAACCATTCGTAAACAGATGTTTTATGTTGTTGTCCTTTATGCGAAGCTATGTTTGGATCACGCACACCAGCGCACCGGAGGTGTGGTGTTTGGAATTTTTTACACAGGGTGAACACATTGTGTTGTGACTCTCTTTCTCTCGTTTCAAGTTTGGAATGTTGGTAATGAAGGCTTCGTCGGTACATGTTGGAAAAGTTTGGGATGTCGGTTATTTTAGTACGACTGGTAAGCTTTGCAGCGGAGCTTTCGAGTACTAAAGCATAAGATGCTCAACGAAGAGTACATACAAGTACTGTAAGATGGAGTTTTGTAAATGGTTATCTTAAATTACTGAAAACCATACGTGATCAAAAAACTGCATAGCATTTAATGCAAATCATCAAAAGTAGTGTGGCAATCCAAATATCTCATGGGACCGATTTCTTTACCTTAAACCTAGCGGTTGAACCTAGTTTAAGACAAGAATTTGATGAGTTGAAGAAATCAATTCTTTATTTGTTTCAAATTCTAAATAAAATACATTTCATTTTATCCGATAGTTTTGTTTGATAAAATAGTAGCGCATGCCGATTTTCAAACAAAATGGTCAACTTTAACATGATGTAACTTTGTTAACTTATGATCAATTGAGCTGAAACGTTCGCCAAAGAACTACAAATATGTTCAATTTTACGATTATAAAATATAAAATTATTGGAAGCACCTGCCGGAAAGTGAGACACCAGGTAAAATTGTTCAAAATAATAGCAGTACTAATTATTTTCATTTCAGCTTAATTGTGAGATTTTAAATTTTACATTTCTCAAATTTCTAACAATCCCCACCCAATTAACAAATGTACATAATAGTTAAAAATGTTTAAAATATTTTCAGTACATTTTCAAATAAAAAACTGCTATTATTCACTTTTCATCAGCTCAATTGATCATAAGTTAACAAAGTTATATCGTGTCAAAGCTGACCATTTTGTATGAAAATCGGCTTGAACTGCTATTTTATCGAACACAGCTGTAGGTGCTCCAGCTACTACAGTAACTTACCAGTCATAATTGTTATGATATCTAAGTGTTTTTACATTGTTCCTACTTTGACAATTCAATACTTTAAACAGGCAACTGCATGTCAGTATAACAATTGACATCTTAAAACTAAACACTAAACCTAAATCTTATCTAAGAATAAAGGGATTTAATCGTTGCAATTGAGGATTGAAAAGATCTTTGCCGGAAATTATTAACTATTTTGTTGGGAATTTGTTACAAAGTTTCAACACTCGAAGTTCTTTGTACCTCGGTAGTACTGTACCAAGGAGGCAACTTAAAAATCATCTTCAGAACTTTGTTCTGAATCCTTTGAAGTGCTTTTTTTCCTGGTGGTGCAACAACTAGACCCTATTGGCACTGCATGGCCGGTCTAAAAACTTGTTTAAATATTAGTAGTTTATTCATTAGGCAAAGTGTGGATTTTTGGTTTATAAGAGAATACCAACATTTTATATATTTATTACATTTGGCTTGAATGCCTTCAATGTGATCTTTCAAAGTTAATTTTTGGTCAAGTATTAATCCAAGATATTTAACTAGACTTGACCAGGAAATTGGAACTCCGTTCATTGTGATTATGTGCTACCACTAGGTTTCAAAAAGGAAGCTCTAGGCTTATGTGTAAATATTATATGTTGAGTTTCGGAAGCGTTGGGACAAATCTTCCATTTTTGTAAATTAGAAGAGAAAATAATTATACTTTTCTGCAGTCAGCGCAAATAACACGAAGGCTTCTTCCATTAGCGGAAATGCCTGTGTCATCGGCGAACAAAGATTTGTGTTATACAGTATAGTCCCAAGAATGCTACCCTGAGGAACTCAGATTTGGAATTTTGATAATTTACCTGCAGAGTTCTGTCAGTTAAATAGTTTTGAACTAATTTCATAATATAGAGGGAAAATTAAACTTTTTCAATTTAGCAATCAAAACTTCATTCAAAACACTGTCGAATACTTTTCTATGTTTAAAAAAGAAACTCCAGTTGAGCCTTTAGATTTGTTTGATCGTATTAAACTGGTAACTCTTAAGAGTTGATGAGTAGTTGAATGCCCATAGCCAAAACCATAGCTCATCTGCAAAAATCGAGTTCGTATGGATGTGAAGTAGGGTGTCCGAAAATTGCACTTTGTCTTGAAATCTAGGGGCTCACCCTCCAAATGATAGCTAAGGGTGTTACAAACAAACTTTTGTAAGGCGGCAACTCTTAGAAATGTTGTTTAGAGGTCGCCCGACGATATTTTTGAAAAAAGTCAATTTTTAATAGCTATTATCCAATAAATATTTTTAGTTCTTTAAATTTCAGTGAAATCTCACCCTTTTATATTTTTCGCAGATTACCAAGGGTCAAAACTATAAGAGAAAAAATTGCTACGGCATGGTCTGTGTCCAATTTGTTAGTTACATTTTTTTCAAATTCTCTAAAATTATGTTTTTTGTTGAACATCACTGCATTCAATAATCAAAAGTGGGTATCAAACATAGCGCTATTATCAATCAAATTCCAATATTTTAGAAAAATCAAAACGTAATATTTTTTTCGGAGCGGTAGACTTCCCCTGAAGTGCTGGAATAGGCTTTTGCGGTTTTTTTTTCCAAATTTATTGTGTGCTTTCAAAAGGGTTTGGAACTTGATCTAACTTCAGTACATTATTTTCAAAAGTGTTGTTCCTCAGGGCAGTGAATCACTTTCTAATTTGTTTGTTCAAATTTCATGGCAGGTTTACGTGTTCTTTGATATTGCCTCCTACGGACATTTTTCAGACGGATCAAGAGCTGAAGATCATCGTCTATCATAATTAAATCGAATTTAACCGAGCATTTTGGTACTGAGGCAGCTCTTGCTTCAACTAAAGAAGTAGTCAGAGATTCAAGAGCATAATTAATTTTATCTCTGGTTTGCCAAGGAATGTTTGGATCGAAGTTACATTCCGTAAATGTTCAATATTGCTCCCAGTCAGCTCTATGGTAATTGAAAGTGGAGCTGTTTTTCCCCTGATTTGTTTTCCGTCGATCTTGTTTTCCGTACTGAGTACCAGGGCGTCACAATATCAGTAAAGTCGAACAGCTTCGCAGCATTCTAGAACCTCAGTCGGCGTCCACAAACAAATGTTCAATCGTTTGTCTCTCTTTCTTCCGTCGCTCCACTGGTTTTTCTTTTAAGCTTCGGTGAAACGGACGAAAGAAAGAGCGCTCGACTTTGATACTTTCGACTTTCATGAAACACATCAACAGACGTATATGACGGAAAACGAAAATATATATTTAAAGTATTTCTCGAGTGAAAACACTTGAAGATTACATGTAATATATTTAATTTTCACATATGTATCTAAAAACAATCAACAAAAATGGAACATAACGCATATTAAACAAATCGAAAGAGCAGTGATAGAGTGTCGGCGAAAAGGATTGAAAGCCATAATGAGGTTTCGTTTAACTCGAAAATTGGCGTAACTTTCATTGAAAGTGATGAGCAAAGCAACGACGAGAAAACCTACAGCCAGCCTTTCGTTCTGACCGTGCTTTTTCATTTTAATTTTGTGCTGATAGTCTAGCTAGGTGTTGTAGAAATGAAATCTGGATCAACAATAGAAAAGGGAATTTTGTTAGTAGGGAGGGTAAGCCATAGGATACGTCCAACCGGCGTTGCTGGCAATCGTTATATCAAGTATTTAATAAATAAAAACTGTAAGTAGCTCATCTGTTGACCGTTGTGCTGCCTGTTAACTAAAAATATTATTCAAAACAGTCTTCAGATTTCAGAATTGATGTGTTGATGTGTTGATGTATGTTTAAAACTAGAAAATTAAAAGTGATTCTTTCTGCAAAATTCTCATTCAGGTCATCGTAAAAGGCTCAGCATGGAAAAAATAATAAAAGATGAATCATCCACACTACTAACCTCAGAATCATTCATGTTACGCTCAGCTGTTTGTTTTGCTCAATTCTGTGTTCATCGAAGAAAATATAAGCAATGCGAATACGAACGAAACCAGTGAATAAGAGTCGAATAAGGTAGAAAATTTACAGGTATATCACAGAGAACAGACGTTGAGGCTCGAACTAAATTTCTGTAAAAACTTGTGTTAAGATTCCTATTCGACTTAAGCGCCAAGAACGCAGACTTCCCCACTTAAAAACCTCTTTGTGTTGCACAACTTACACCAGACACTGAGTGCCGGTAGCGCTGAGTGGTAACTTTCAACAGAAAACTAGCGCCAAATCGGTCAAAAATGGAAAGCAGGTGATGCTAGCGCCACGTAACGGCAACGTTTTATATATATATATATATATATATATATATATATATATATATATATATATATATATATATATATATATATAAAGTCTGTGTGAATAGTTTACATTCGTTTTCCATATATTTTTCTAGACAAATTTGAAAGATCTCCAACATATGCAGATCATAACCGAATTCATTCAAATTTGGCACAGTTATTGGGGACCACAATACATATCGGAAGAACTGTTCTATCTTGATCCACTGTAACGTGTTACGATTTTTTGTAAATAGTTTTCGTTTAAATTAAATTTAATAAGGAATTAGTTTAACTT